AAACACACACGAGAACATGAAGAACCCTACACACACCTGCACGAGAACATGAGAATCACACACAGACACAGACACACACACACAGAGACACACACATAGACACAGACACACAGATACACACACACACACAGACACACACACACACACACACACACACAGACACAGAGAGACACACACACACACACACAGAGTTGTTTCTTACCCCGTCCTCGTCTTCGATTATGTCTTTTCCCACTGATGCCAGAGTCGTCCATTTGCAGTTGTTTGTGGCTCTGACGGCGCAGCGTTTGTGAGCTTTAAACTTACACACTGTCCCCACAAGACAGGAGCCGACAGGAGCCGACAGGAGCCGACAGACAGGGACATATAAACAATTAGAACACAAATAAATGATCCACACTGACCCTGACCTGAAGCACACATCACCCTGACCTGAAGCACACATCACCCTGACCTGAAGCACACATCACACTGACCTGAAGCACACATCACCCTGACCTGAAGCACACATCACACTGACCCTGACACACGACAAACACAAGGGGGCAGTGTTTTGCCCACACATAGGTCAGTACAGTACTACAGTATTATACACGTGTACTATGGAGTAGTGTGGAGTACTACAGTATTATACACGTGCACTATGGAGTAGTGTGGAGTACTACAGTATTATACACGTGTACTATGGAGTAGTGTGGAGTACTACAGTATTATACGAGTACTACAGTGAGTAGTGTGGAGTACTACAGTATTATACACGTGTACTATGGAGTAGTGTGGAGTACTACAGTATTATACACGTGTACTATGGAGTAGTGTGGAGTACTACAGTATTATACACGTGTACTATGGAGTAGTGTGGAGTACTACAGTATTATACACGTGTACTATGGAGTACTGTGGAGTAATACTTGTAGTGGCTGCAGTACTGATATCTTGACATGAGAGGGACGTGGTGGCAGTAGTATTTTTAGTATTTGTAGTAGTATTTGTAGTAGTAGTAGTATTTGTAGTATTTGTACCTTCAGAGGAGAGGCCGTGGGACGTGGTGGTAGTAGTATTTGTGGTATTTGTAGTAGTAGTGGCAGTAGTATTTTTAGTATTTGTAGTAGTAGTAGTATTTGTAGTATTTGTACCTTCGCAGGAGCGGCCATGAGACGTGGTGGTAGTAGTAGTAGTAGTAGTAGTAGTAGTAGTAGTAGTAGTACTTGTACCTTCGCAGGAGAGGCCGTGGGATGTGGTGGTAGTAGTAGTAGTAGTAGTAGTAGTAGTAGTAGTAGTAGTAGTACCTTCGCAAGAGAGGCTGTGGGACGTGGTGGTAGTAGTAGTAGTAGTAGTAGTAGTAGTAGTAGTAGTAGTAGTAGTAGTAGTACCTTCGCAGGAGAGGCCGTGGGACGTGACTCCGGACAGAGCTTCTCTACAGACGTTGCAGTAGGTCGGACGAGCGTGAGAACAAGCGAACCAGTTATGCATCCCACTGAAGAGATCTACGCTCAGCTGAGACGCCTCGAGAACACACACAGGTTAGAGTTTAACCTCGAGAACACACACAGGTTAGAGTTTAACCTCGAGAACACACACAGGTTAGAGTTTAACCTCGAGAACACACACAGGTTAGAGTTTAACCACGAGAATACACAGGTTAGAGTTTAACCACGAGAACACACACAGGTTACAGTTTAACCACGAGAATACACAGGTTAGAGTTTAACCACGAGAACACACACAGGTTAGAGTTTAACCACGAGAACACACACAGTTTAGAGTTTAACCACGAGAACACACACAGTTTAGAGTTTAACCTCGAGAACACACACAGTTTAGAGTTTAACCATGAGAACACACACAGTTTAGAGTTTAACCTCGAGAACACACACAGTTTAGAGTTTAATCATGTGAATACACAGAGTTTAGAGTTTAATCGTGTGAACACAGGAGCAGATCTGTGTCTCTGGTGTAAATTGAAGATTTTAAAAGTACATGTGTGTGCAGCTCTGCCCATGTTACATGTCACCAACACTCCTGGTGTAAATTCTGGGTCTCACACACACACACACACACACACACACACAGACACACACAGACACACACACACACACACACACACACACACACACACACACAGACACACACACACACACACACACACACACACACACAGACACACACACACACACACACACACACACAGACAGACACACACACACACACACAGACACAGACAGACACACACAGACACACACACAGACACACACACACAGACACACACACACACACACAGTGTCAGTACCTCGTAGTTGTCTCGGTTCTGGACGCTGCGCAGAGCTGTGATCCACTCCTCCATCTCCTTCCTGCTGTCGGCGCAAAGAATCAGACGCCTGCACGGAGTGATCACCTGAACACACACACACACACACGAGTAAACACACACACTCACACACGAGAATGAACACACACACACATACACACACGAGAATGAACACACACACACATACACACACGAGAATGAACACACACACACATACACACACGAGAATGAACACACACACGTGTAAACACACACATACACATGTTGAAACACTGAATGCAGGTTTTTAATTTTAATGCCAGACTGTGGGACATTTCAGATTTTGCAGAGTCATCTCCACACAGCCAAACACAGGGCCCCCTCCAGGAAAGTTACATAATGCAGCTTTAAACCCAGAGTTTGTAAACAGAGAGGACAAAGAGGCTCTGTCGTCACGGCGACCACGAGACGCTCAAGAACAAACGGCACTTTTACAAAAAAAACATTTAAAAACATTTAAAGAAACGAAACAGACGCCGTGATCACACAGAGAAACACGAGGAGTTAGACCGGGTCTAGTCCTGGTCTAGTCCTGGTTCAGTCCTGGTCTAGTCCTGGTTCAGTCCTGGTCCAGTCCTGGTTCAGTCCTGGTCTAGTCCTGGTCTAGGACTCACGGTGAAGCTGCTGTTGATGTTCTTGGTGCTGGACTCGGCGACACTGGCGTCGGTCAAATCCACCTCGTCAAAAATGATCGACTGAAACAAAAGAAACAAGACGTGACTCTGTGGGGTATTAAAGAGGAGTATGTGACTCTGTGGGGTATTAAAGAGGAGTATGTGACTCTGTGGGGTGTTAAAGAGGAGTATGTGACTCTGTGGGGTATTAAAGAGGAGTATGTGACTCTGTGGGGTATTAAAGAGGAGTATGTGACTCTGTGGGGTATTAAAGAGGAGTATGTGACTCTGTGGGGTATTAAAGAGGAGGTATTTTTATCTCCATGTTCCTTTTATTGTTTTTAAAATGTTATTTACGGCCAAAAAACTGGTTCATATGTTCTATAAGTTTCTTTCCTCCCTTTACTCTCTGTGCCAAGTCGCTCCCCCTTCAAAGCACTGTCCCAGCACACTGAGACCTGTGTGAAGTCGCCTCCGTCAAACGCACAACCACACAAAAACTGTCTGTCGTTTGTGCGGTAAAAAGTTCAGTTTGTACGGAAGCCGAGAGGGGCCACAACAAACGCAAACGCCGCAACAAATACAAATGCCACAACACAACAAAAAGCCACAACACACAAAAAAAGCCACAACACACCAAAAGAGCCACAACAAACAAAAACAAAGCCACAACAAACAAAAAAAAGCCACAACACACCAAAAAAGCCACACACACCAAAAAAGCCATAACAAAAAAAGCCATAACACACCAAAAAGCCACAACACACCAAAAAAGCCATAACAAAAAAGCCATAACACACCAAAAAGCCACAACACACCAAAAAAGCCACAACCAAAAAAGCCACAACAAACCAAAAAAGCCACAACACACAAGAAAACCACAACAAACCAAAACACAGCCACAACAAACCAAACAAAAGCCACAACACACAAAATAAGCCACAATACACACCAAAAAAAAAAAGCCACAACACACAAAAAAGCCACAACAGAAGTGACCGCGGGACTCTATTTTCCAACGGACTGATCAAGCGGCAAGTGAAGAAGAAAAACTACAACGTGAAAATAGAGTCCCGCGGTCACTTCCGTTGTGGCTTTTTATTGTGTTGTGGTATTTGGGTTTGTGTTGTGGCATTTGAATTTGTTGCTGCGTTTGCATTAAAATAGAGTCCCACGGTCATTTCCATTGTGGTTTTTTGTTTGTTTGTTGTGGCTTTTTTTTTTGGTGTGTTTTTTTTTTTGTGTTGTGGCTTTTTAATGTGTTGTGGCATTTGCGTTTGTGTAGCGGCATTTGCATTAAAATAGAGTCCCGCGGTCACTTCTGTTGTGGCTTTTTAATGTGTTGTGGCTTTTTAATGTGTTGTGGCGTTTGTATTTGTTGCGGCGTTTGCATTAAAATAGAGTCCCACGGTAATTTCCGTTGTGGGTTTTTTTTGTTTGTTGTGGCTTTTTTTTTGGGGGGTGTTGTGACTTTTTTTTGGTTTGTTGTGACTTTTTGTTGTGTTGTGGCATTTGTATTTGTCGTGGCGTTTGCGTTTGTTGTGACCCTCTCGGAGTCCGTAAGTTTGTATGATTCTGGTTCTTCAAATTTTCTCAGTTTTATTTTGGGTCGATGATTCAAAAAGTGAAACAGCCTCAAAACAGCAGAAAATTAAACCAAACGTTAGTGTTGTTTTTGTGAAGAGAAACGAGTCTGTGGAAAAGTCTGTTTCAGTCTTTAGTCGTTTCTTTTTGATTCATATTTTCTATAATCACACAGACTTTTACACAGACTCGGGTCGTTTCTCTTCTAGTTTTGTGGAGTTTTGTTAAAGTCGCTGTCGTCAGCAGAGCGGAAATGACCAAAATATAATTTACACAAAAATAATCATGAATAATTTTAGAAATAAACTCACACAAATTAAAACAATCACACACAAAACAGAACAAACCAAATACAAATGTTTGGTTTAATGTTCTGCTGTTTTGAGTCATCGGCCCAAAATAAAACTGAGATTATCTTAAGAACCAAAATCACACAAACTGAACTTTACACCTCAAACGACTGACACAGTTTTGTGTCTTTTTTGAGAATTTTGAAGTTTCCTTTTGTGACCCAAATCTGACCTGTAAAAGAATCTTTAATATCTCCAAAACTAAAACAGCACAAACTAAACTGTCTCCAGCACAAATGCCTGACGTAGTTTTTGTGTTTGTGTTTTCAGACGGGATTGTGATGAGGAACAAAGTGAGAACGTGAGGGACTGGGTCTGGTTCTGTGGGGTCTGGTTCTGTGGGGTCTGGTTCTGTGGGGTCTGGTTCTGTGGGGTCTGGATGGGGTCTGGATCTGTCGGGTCTGGATCTGTCGGGTGGTTTGTGGGTCTGGATCTGTGGGGTCTGGTTCTGTGGGTCTGGTTCTGGGGGTCTGGTTCTGTGGGGTCTGGATCTGTGGGTCTGGTTCTGGTGGTTCTGGGGGTCTGGATCTGTGGGGTCTGGTTCTGGGGGTCTGGGGGTCTGGTTCTGTCTGGTCTGGGGGTCTGGTTCTGTGGGGTCTGGTTCTGTGGGGTCTGGATCTGTGGGGTCTGGTTCTGTGGGTCTGGTTCTGTGGGGTCTGGATCTGTGGGGTCTGGTTCTTTCGGGTCTGGTTCTGTGGGGTCTGGATCTGTGGGTCTGTCTGGTCTGGTTCTGTGGGGTCTGGTTCTGCGGGGTCTGGTTCTGCGGGGTCTGGTTCTGTGGGGTCTGGATCTGTGGGGTCTGGATCTGTGGGGTCTGGATCTGTGGGGTCTGGTTCTGTGGGGTCTGGTTCTGTGGGGTCTGGATCTGTGGGGTCTGGATCTGTGGGGTCTGGATCTGTGGGGTCTGGATCTGTGGGGTCTGGTTCTGTCGGGGTCTGGATCTGTCGGGTCTGGATCTGTCGGGTCTGGATCTGGGTCTGGTTTCTGGGGTCTGGATCTGCGGGGTCTGGATCTGCGGGTCTGGTTCTGCGGGGTCTGGTTCTGGGGGTCTGGTCTGTGGGGTCTGGTTCTGTGGGGTCTGGTTCTGCGGGGTCTGGTTCTGCGGGGTCTGGTTCTTTCGGGTCTGGTTCTGTGGGGTTCTGGGGGTTCTGTGGGGTCTGGTTTCTGTGGGGTCTGGTTCTGTGGGGTCTGGTTCTGTGGGTCTGGTTCTGTGTCTGGATCTGTCGGTCTGGTCTGTCGGGTCTGGATCTGTCGGGTCTGGTTCTGCGGGGTCTGGTTCTGTGGGGTCTGGATCTGTGGGGTCTGGGATCTGTGGGGTCTGGTTCTGGGGTCTGGTTTCTGGGGTCTGGTTCTGGGGGTCTGGTTCTGGTCTGGTTCTGGTCTCTGTGGGTCTGGGGGTCTGGATCTGTGGGGTCTGGATCTGTCGGGTCTGGATCTGTCGGGTCTGGATCTGTCGGGTCTGGTTCTGCGGGGTCTGGTCTGCGGGGTCTGGATCTGTGGGGTCTGGTTCTGTGGGGTCTGGTTCTGTGGGGTCTGGTTCTGTGGGGTCTGGATCTGTGGGTCTGGTCTGGGGGTCTGGTTCTGTGGGGTCTGGTTCTGCGGGGTCTGGTTCTGTGGGGGGGTCTGGATCTGTGGGTCTGGTTCTGTGGGGTCTGGATCTGTGGGGTCTGGTTCTGTCGGGTCTGGTTCTGTGGGTCTGGTCTGTGGGTCTGGTTCTGTGGGGTCTGGTTCTGTGGGGTCTGGTCTGTGGGTCTGGTTCTGTGGGGTCTGGTTCTGTGGGGTCTGGTTCTGTGGGGTCTGGTTCTGTGGGGTCTGGTTCTGTGGGGTCTGGATCTGTGGGGTCTGGTTCTGTGGGGTCTGGATCTGTCGGGACTGGTTTTGTGGGGTCTGGTTCTGTGGGGTCTGGATCTGTGGGGTCTGGTTCTGTGGGGTCTGGTTCTGTGGGGTCTGGTTCTGTGGGGTCTGGTTCTGTGGGGTCTGGTTCTGTGGGGTCTGGTTCTGTGGGGTCTGGATCTGTGGGGTCTGGTTCTGTGGGGTCTGGATCTGTCGGGACTGGTTTTGTGGGTCTGGTTCTGTGGGGTCTGGTTCTGTGGGGTCTGGTTCTGTGGGGTCTGGTTCTGTGGGGTCTGGTTCTGTGGGGTCTGGTTCTGTGGGGTCTGGTTCTGTGGGGTCTGGTTCTGTGGGGTCCGGTGTGTGTACCTTGGCCGTCTGGGCGTAGTACAGGGTGCGTCCTCTCAGTTTGAAGTATCTTCTCTTCCAGCGCTGGAACGAGTTGGTCTGTTTGAGGAGCGTCCCCTCCTTCAGAACCGTCTAAAGACACAGAGACGAGGATCAGCTGACCTCCTCCAACACTCAGACTCACACTATTTTTGAACAAATTCATAACATGACCTCAGGCTCCTGGAACAATGAGCTTACAGAGTTCTACTGGACCTGGACTCTAGACCTGGACTCTAGCCCTGGACTCTAGACCTGGACTCTAGCCCTGGACTCTAGACCTGGACTCTAGGACTCTAGACCTGGACTCTAGACCTGGACTCTAGACCTGGACTCTAGACCTGGTTTGGACCTGGTTTAGTCCTGGTTTAGACCTGGTTTAGTCCTGGTTTAGACCTGGTTTAGTCCTGGTGTAGACCTGGTGTAGTCCTGGTTTAGACCTGGTTTAGACCTGGTTTAGACCTGGTATAGTCCTGGTTTAGACCTGGTTTGGACCTGGTTTAGACCTGGTTTAGACCTGGTGTAGTCCTGGTTTAGTCCTGGTTTAGACCTGGTGTAGTCCTGGTTTAGTCCTGGTTTAGACCTGGTTTAGACCTGGTGTAGTCCTGGTTTAGTCCTGGTTTAGACCTGGTATAGTCCTGGTTTAGACCTGGTGTAGTCCTGGTTTAGTCCTGGTTTAGACCTGGTGTAGTCCTGGTTTAGACCTGGTGTAGTCCTGGTTTAGTCCTGGTTTAGTCCTGGTTTAGTCCCTAACGCAGGTTTGGAATAAGACAATAAAGTAAAAACTGAAAATAAACAAACTTTCAAAAGTTTTTAATGTGATGATTGTTGTGTGTTTTCTGTTCTAATTGTGACATTTAAAATCTCAATATTGAAACGGCTTCATAAAGAAAGAAGAACAACGACTTCAGTGATAGAAAACCAGGACTAAACCAGGACTAAACCAGGACTAAACCAGGACTAAACCAGGACTAAACCAGGACTAAAACCAGGACTAAACCAGGACTAAACCAGGACAAAACCAGGTCTAAACCAGGACTAAACCAGGTCTAAACCAGGACTAAACCAGGACAAAACCAGGTCTAAACCAGGACTAAACCAGGTCTAAAACCAGGACTAAACCAGGACTAAACCAGGTCTAAACCAGGACTAAACCAGGACTAAACCAGGACTAAACCAGGACTAAACCAGGTCTAAAACCAGGACTAAACCAGGACTAAACCAGGACTAAACCAGGACTAAACCAGGTCTAAACCAGGACTAAACCAGGTCTAAACCAGGACTACACCAGGACTAAACCAGGTCTAAACCAGGACTAAACCAGGTCTACAACCAGGACTACACCAGGACTAAACCAGGACTACAGGACCAGGACTACACCAGGACTAAACCAGGACTACACCAGGACTACACCAGGTCTACACCAGGACTACACCAGGACTAAACCAGGTCTAAACCAGGACTAAACCAGGTCTACACCAGGTCTAAACCAGGTCTACACCAGGACTAAACCAGGACTAAACCAGGACTACACCAGGACTAAACCAGGTCTAAACCAGGTCTGACCCAGGCTGAGGTCCCTCCTCCTGCTGCACTTCACACTCACAGTGTGTACGTCACACAGTGTGTACGTCACACAGTGTGTACGTCACACAGTGTGTACGTCACACAGTGTGTACGTCACACAGTGTGTACGTCACACAGTGTGTACGTCACACAGTGTGTACGTCACACAGTGTGTACGAATCAGTCCAAACAGAACTTCAGAGGGTCAGAGAGAAGAACCGACGAGCAGATGTTTCAAAGTTGTGTAAACTAGAGCCCGACCGATATGGATTTTGCTGTGGCCGATATGAAACCGATATAATGGAAGTTGGAGCTGCCGATATAATCGCCGATATATTTAGTGATGTAAAAATTCACTGTAAATGTTGAATTGTTTAAAAAACTTAGGTTTGGCTCTGGTGGATTTTAAACTGGGTTTATTTAGGAAACATTTATTGTTCTTCTGCCTCTTTACTTCATATTTACAGACAGTTGGACTAATGGTATTTTTGCATCACATTCTAGACACTAGTGATGTTTATTCCAGTTCTTTTTAGAGAACCGGCTCTTTTGGCTCGGCTCACTAAAAGCTGCTGGTTCTTTTGGCTCCCAAGTGGCTCTTCAGATTGTTTTGTTGCAAGCAGGACTAAAGCACGTCTAAAGCAGGACTGAATCAGGACTGAACCAGGTCTAAACCAGGACTGAAAAAGGACTAAACCGGGACTTATTTATTTTATGCTAAACTACAGTCAAATATGCTCGTTTTTTTTTTTTAATCCTATGTACATGCAAATTTCTCAAAGTTTCGTTTTTAGCCGCTGCCGCTGTCAAACCACGAATCACGCGGCGTGAAGAGAAAAAAAGTGAGAGAAAGAGAAAACACGGCTCCCAATAAGGATCAGGCTCCCGTCGTTCCCTTCAAAGAGCCGGTTCTAAGAGTCATTTCGTTGGCGACGGACCCATAACTAGTAAAGAAAGTAGCGCTATTAGCCTTTAGTTGTAAATACGTGCGCGCCGCGGTAATTAATTATATGCGCAAATGTCATAATTCACACGTCTGTTCACAGCTCATTTACATATCAGTGCAGGTCCAGGAGCAAATATACGAACAATATAATCACTTTAACAGACCAATAGAAAACAGTGTGTTTATGTGCGGAGCTACAGCAGCTAACCCATAACAAATGACAAAAACTAGCTTCAGAGTCGACATATTTCCAACACTCACCGCTCACACAGGCTCCTCCCACATCACACAGGCTCCTCCCACATTACAAATCTGCACTAATAAATGTCCTTTTAATCCAGACTCAAACCGATTGTCCGTAAAAAGAAAATAATGTCAGTGTTTGGATCTGTGTCTGCAGGTGTAAACAAACACACGTGAGTGACGCGACTCTGTGGTGTGTTCAGGGACAGTACGACACACACACACAAATGACTCCGTAGATAAATACTGATGTGGAGCCACATATTAGGACATTTATCTGTCTGTAAATTGGATTAAATGAACAGAATGTAGAGAGTCTAAGATTTATAACGAGGTGTAACATGCCCACGTGAAATATCGGCCCCTATCAGCAAGTATATCGGCCGATAGCCGATATGCCTAAAGTTGCCCATATCAGCCGATAATATCGGCCAACCGATATATCGGTCGGGCTCTAGTGTAAAGTCCAAGTCCAGGTCTGATTTAAAGTTGGGCTCAGTCCAGACGCTGCTTTAAATAGACACAGGAAGTCTCTCCCTGTGACGCAGAACTGAGCTCAAACACTGGAACATTGTGACGATACAAAAATAATCTGAATGAGTCCAAGAGAACGCAGCTCCAAACAGGAAACAGCCTTTCCTGAACACAAAACACACATGCACACAGCCTCTAAAGTGTACTGCCCAAGGACACAACAACAGCCTGGTGAAACTAACAGACCAGCTGAGACTTTTACAGAGCCCAGCAGTGAAGTTTTAACTCAAAATGTCTTCTTCTTCTTCACACAGACGTCACAGTCGTCCAGGTCAAAGTTTATTTACTGCTCCCAGACTAAAGACGAACACTGATCTGACCAACGTTTAAAACTTATATCACTTTATTCATCTTGTTTACAGATTTATTTTCTACTTTCTAGACCAAACACTGATTCATTCTCATCTAGAGGTAGTTAATTTCAGATAATTTGTCAACTAAAATAATCTTGCTGCATGGACAGATCATCTCTCTACTTTTAAGAATTATTTTTTTTGATAGATTTAAGTGTTTATTACGACGGAGTATAAGGGTCAGATAAAAAAAAATAATATATATATATATATATATATATATTTATATGCTGGCGCTACTAGAATAAAGTCGAAACATTTTGACATTAAAGTCGTAATATTATGAGAATAAAGTAATAATTTTACAAGAATAAAGTCGTAAATTTACGAGAATAAAGTCGTAATTTTATGAGAATAAAGTTGTAGTGAAAATAAAGTGGTAATATAAGGAGAACATCGGCGGCTCGTGGAGAATTTGGAGCATTTTGTAAAGGAGAAGAATCTGTGTATCGTTCGTTCATTCGACTGAACCAGGACTGAATCAGGACTAAATCAGGTCCGGAACCAAACCAGAAAGACCAGGACTGAGACCAGGACCAGACCAGGACTGAAAACAGTTTAGTCCTGGTTTAAATCACGGAAATGGGAAATGGCGTTTCCGTGACTTTAAAATGCGATGCGGGACTGAACCAGGACTGAACCAGGACTAAACCGTTTTCAGTCCTGGTCTGGTCCCGGTCTCAGTCCCAGTCTCAGTCCTGGTCTGGTCTTGGACCTGGTTTAGACCTGGTTTAGACCTGGTTTAGTCCTGGTTCAGTCCTGGTTCAGTCCGGAGGCGCAAATAATGAAGAAAATTGTTGTTCATTTTCTTATTTTTGGTTTTATATTGAAAAACAAGGTTCTTCTTCTTCCGCATTTTTCACTTTGACTTTAAGTTTATTACGACTTTATTCTCGTGATATTATAACTTTATTCTCATAATGTTACGACTTTATTTTAACTTTGACTTTATTCTTGTAAAATTACGACTTTATTCTCATAGCGCCAGCATGGTTTATTTTTTAATCTGACCCTTATACTCCGTCGTAGTTTATATCTTAAATTTTGGCCACACTGTTTTGCAGTCCAACAGAATAATGAGGCGAGACACAAATGTGGAGGATAAAAAGACCAAACCACTGTCTGACATCTGGACGGTTTTAATGTGAAGCTAAGATTTACTGTGATATAAATAACTTCACAAAGAACTTTACAAAAAAAATAAATAAATAAATAAAACAGACAGGACCACAACACGACAGCCAAACCGGGACACATTTACACCCGCTATTCCTCCACAAAATCATCAAAATAAACCTCTGTTCAACTCGCTTCACGTTTGTTTTTCGCCCAGATTCCACCGACCCGCGGCTGTCAGCGGAGCCCGGGGCTGAGTCACTGTTCCCGGGGGAGCGGCGCCAGGAAACACCGGGGCTTTGAGGCCGTTAGCATAGCGATCGTCAGCGTAGCCTAAAGCTAACCGTGTTTTTTTTTTATTTACACGTTTCTTTATAATAAGTTAATTCAATAATAATTAATATTTATTGTTGACTAATATTATTGCTTAAATGTTCACGTGGACGGAGGATTTATATGTTTTTAGATGAACTTGTAGCAGAATGTTGTTGTTGTTAGCGCGCGTAGCATCCAGGTGAGTGTTGTGATCAGTTTGACAGATGATGGACGCGGATGAATGACTCAGTTTACAGGCGGATTTTAATCATTTTACAGGCGGATTTTAATCATTTTACAGGCGGATTTTAATCATTTTACAGGTGGATGTCTCAAACAATCGCTCCGTTACAACCGGAAAAGTTGAAAAAAGTTTTTATTAGGACCAGAATAACGGCGAGCGGCTTCACTTGAGTTCGGAGCGTTTCTTTACTTTAGAAACAAACTTTAAGCTTAAAAAACACGGTCATATTCTCTTAACATTTCTCCTCCAGACGGGGCCGGGCCACATTTACACTTCATCAGCTCTCGCAGCTCGTTATTTAAATAGTTTATATCAAATAAAAGTTTAATTCTTTGACTTTTAGTGACTGTTTCCAGTTTGAATGGACGTCTGCTCCAGAGATCCTCCACGCGGAGATGCGCGGCTCCGTCATCCCGCCGCTTCGTTCTGTGTTTGTTGATTTAAGAATAAGTATAATTTTAATATTTTTTAATGTTCTGTTCGGGAGTTAAAAACTTTAGACTCACATTTGATCGCGCGTATTGACCGAACTGAGGCGGACTCACGGCGCTCTCCGGGCTGCACCGGATGTGGTCTCCCCGGAGCAGAGTCTCTGAGCTCAGCCCGTTACAAACTCCGCGGATGTGAGCGGCTCTGGGACCCGGACAAAGCGCTCGATTTTCGGTCTAAACGTGCCCGAAGCGCCCGGCGAACGCGAGGCTCCGGTGCCCGCAGTAAAACGCCGAAGAGCCCGTGTTCTGCGGAGGGTCCGGGGGGGCTCTCGGGCCTCCTCGGACCCCGGAGCGGCGCGTCTTTCCCCGGGGCACGGCGGACGTACCTTGCTGCGGATCTGGCCGGAGGTGGACACTTTGCGGATGAGTTTCTGCGGGGATCCGGGCTCCTGCTCCGGTTCACTGTCCGAGGACTCGTCCACGGCTCGGGCAGCGGCGGACTGCGGGCCCCCTGCCTCCGCCATCCTCCAGCCCCGGAGCCTCAGAGCGGAGAGCGCCCCCGTGCGGACGGAGCGGGGCGGTGCAGGCGGAGAGGAGCGGGGCTCTGAGGACACCTGCTGGACACGACCGGGAACTGCACCAGAATCTTCTACTACTACTAGTAGTACTACACAATAATAACAACAATAATAATAATGATGATGCATCAGTTTTATGCAGCACTTTTCTGGACACTTAAAGACACTTTACACAGAATTTACTCACACTCAGTGTAAACTACTACTGTACTCACAGCTGCCCTGGTCCAGTCCTGGTCCAGTCCTGGTTCAGTCCTGGTCCAGTCCTGGTCCAGTCTTGGTTTTGTCCTGGTTTAGTCCTGGTTTAGTCCTGGTTTAGTCCCAGTTCTTGACCTGGTTTCTAGGATGTTACTCCGAGCCTGAGGTTGTGTCTCTTGTTTAACGAGGTCATAGGTCAGAGGTCGTGTGTGTGCTCACGTCAGAGAGAGTGCACGTGAGTGTAAGTGTGTGCACGTGAGTGTGACTGTACACATGCATGTATGCATGTGCACGTATGTGTGTGACTGTACATGTGTGTGTGTACATGTGTGTGTGAGCGTGCACGTATGTGTGTGACTGTACACGTGTGTGTGTGTATGTGTACACGTGTGTGTGTATGTGTACACGTGTGTGTGTGTGTGTGTATGTGTACACATGTGTGTGTGTATGTGTACATGTGTGTGTGTGTACACGTGTGTGTGAGCGTGCACATATGTGTGTGACTGTACACGTGTGTGTGTATGTGTACACGTGTGTGTGACTGTACACGTGTGTGTGTATGTGTACACATGTGTGTGTGTATGTGTACACGTGTGTGTGTGTGTGTACACGTGTGTGTGTGTGTGTATGTGTACACATGTGTGTGTGTATGTGTACATGTGTGTGTGTGTACACGTGTGTGTGAGCGTGCACATATGTGTGTGACTGTACACGTGTGTGTGTGTGTATGTGTACACGTGTGTGTGACTGTACACGTGTGTGTGTATGTGTACACATGTGTGTGTGTGTATGTGTACACATGTGTGTGTATGTGTACACGTGTGTGTAGTGTACACGTGTGTACACGTGTGTGTGTATGTGTACACATGTGTGTGTATGTGTACACGTGTGTGTGTATGTGTACACGTGTGTGTGTGTGTACACGTGTGTGTGTGTGTACACGTGTGTGTGAGCGTGCACATACGTGTGCGTGAGCATGTACAGTACATAAGCCGAGCGCTCGAGGACTCGTCACACGTCTTCAGATCTGCTGCAGGTGAGTGCACACACTGTAAAGCTGCACTATGGAACTTTTCTGCTGGAGGGTTCATCAAACGCTTGTATCCATAGAAACAAGCAGATGACGGGCCCATCATCTGTAAAGTTCCACAGTGCAGCTTTAACTGTTGTCGTGTTTTGTTTGTTTGGATTTTCACAAACTCCAAAAAAGAAAAGTTCACATTTGGTTTGTGGTTCAGTCAGAGGAGTCTGTGTCTGTGGGTAAAGCTGCACCGTGGAACTTTTTTGTTGAGGGTCTGTCACCTGCTTGTTTCCATGGAGACGTCACCGCTCTGTCTGGAATGTTCCGCAGTGTGACTTTAAACAGCTCCGCTTTACATTTGTTCAGTCACAGGTGCAGGTTTGAGTCGGAAACAGAGCGGGGGTCGCCTCTCCACAGATCTGACCTGGAGCTGAGTGTGGTTTGGTCTCCATGGAGATAGAAAGGTTTAACGCCGTACTGCGGAATATTCAAGACAAAGCAACAACATCTCCATAGAGCAAAGTGTTTTTTGGAGCCTCCATCAGTGTTTGAAAATGTCTTTATTTTCACTTTAAAATGTTGTGAAGAGTTTTTGTGTTTTTCCAGAAGGACTTGACAGAGACGAGAAGAAGAAGAAGAAGAAGAAGAAGAAGAAGAAGAAGAAGAAGAAGAAGAAGAAGAAGAAGAAGAAGAAGAAGGAGAGGAGGAGCCATGATGCTGGTGAGATCGTGGATTTGTTCAAACATCTGGAGTTGCTGCAGTTTAGATCCTTTTGGAGTCAAATTTGAGTCAAAGACAAAAACATCGAGCAAAAAATTATAAATCAAAATACCAAATAAATTAAAAAAAATCAGTTAAATAAAATTAAATGAATAAATTTGCAATCAGATTATTTGTGTAATGGTGTAAAATCTCCGTCTTTTATTTTAGTTCTGTGTCGTTCTCAGTTTTGTTTGGTGTCGTTTTCTTTGGTTCTGGTTCTTCTTCTCGTTGGACTTTTTGGTTCTGATTCGTCCAACGAGAAGAACCAGAACCAAAGAAAACTGAGAAAGATGCAGAACAAAAATAAAAAAAAGGCAAAGATGGAGATTTTACACAATTACACAAATAATTTGATTGCACATTTATTTATTTTTATTTAATTTTATTTTAATTTGGTATTTTGATTTATTTTTTGGGGGTTTTTTTTGCTCGATGTTTTAAAAGCGTCTTTGAAATATTTGACAGTAAACTGATAGTGACACTCGCTCCTCCCTCTGGCCTAGAAACATTTTTTTCCCACCGAGCGCAAAGTAACACAAACAACTGCTGACAGGTGCTGACAGGTGCTGACAGGGGCTGACAGGGGCTGACAGGGGCTGACAGGGCACCTACAGTTTTCAAAAATGTCGGATTTTGTGGCGATTTTGACCCATTTTTAGATCATAAACTTCTTCTTGGCTCAGAGTTCTTCAGTTTTTCATAACGGCTCCTCTCGCTCTGATTGGTCGAAGCGCTCATCGTGGGCGTCGTACGTCTGCGGCGTTTTGTCGTCAGGACACATTTATGTTTTACACAAACTAAACTTAAACCACATGACTCATTTCCATAAACTAATGTGATAAAAACAGTTGTTTCTTGTGTCTGATGTGGTTCAGTTTGTGTTGGATTTAAGGTTCGTTCACACCAAAGCGTCAAAAAACACCTTGACGTTTCTATTTGGAGCCTTTGCATTTGAGTTCAGACGCCCCGACGCTCGTGTCTTTGACGCCGTGGACGAACGGGACAAAAATACTTGACGTGCGTCCGTTGCCCTGGAAACAAGAGCCCGGTCCTGGATTTTTCCTGAAACAATGTCAGACCAGACTGAGAGACTTTAGTGTTTTTATGACATAAAACATCAGTGGAGGAAATCGACTCGACGACTGGAGCGAGTTTATATTTATGCTCCACTAATGACACTGGATCAGTCCTGGTCTAGTCCCGGTCTAGTCGTGGTTTAGTCGTGGTTTAGTCTTGGTCTTTTCAGGGTCTAGTCCTTGTTTAGTCCTGGTCTAGTCCTGGTTTGGTCCCGGTCTACAGTAATCTCGGTCTAGTCTCGGTCTACTCCCAGTCTAGTCCTGGTTTAGTCCTGGTCTGGTCCTGGTGATCGTCTCGGTGTTTGTGGTGTATATATTTATGTTCCGTTCATGTTTGTGGTTCTGGGGTTTTTCTTCCTGATAATAACGTCGCTGTGTCTCTGGATACTCGTCCCTGATTGGTCGACGCGGCTCGTCTGACGCGAAAAGTTCACATTTTCAACTTCTTGACGCTGACGCCTCGGACGCGCGTCTAGACTGTCGACGTGAAAACACTCAAGACTCGCCGCGTCGACGCCAGATTCACGCCGCAAAAACGCAGGAGGCTCTAGTCGCGCGTCCACATGGACTTTACATAGAAACTGGACACTTTGACGCTTTGGTGTGAACGAACCTTTAGTCTCCGTTCAGTCTGCAGGTTTAACGCTCAATTCAGATTTTTTTGTGAAATCCGATGTTTTTTTGAGGTCGTTCACATTTCCAGTTAAATGTGACTTGTGTGTGACTCCAGTGTGAACATTAAACGGTCCAAAAGTGTCCCACATGTGACACTGGAGACACGACGACGTCAACCGCAGCGAGCGTCTCTGTGTTTACACAAGTTGAACAAACATGGACGCAGCATCGAGCACCTGGAGATTTTAAAGTTCCTCTCGTACCGGAGCCACAACATGAACAACTGACTTGTTTTAAGGAGGAGATTGAGAAGGAGAAGGAGCAGGTTTTTGGTGGTGGTGTTTTGTGGTGAGTGGAGATGTGCTTCACTTCAGTCACATGGATCATGAA